GAGAGAGAGAGAGAGAGAGAGAGAGAGAGAGAGAGAGAGATGATAGAGAGATAGAGAGATATAGATATAGATATCTTAATTCTGTAAGGCCCAACCCTCGGTCTGTAAAGAGTTCAGAGAATCAGAATTTTTTATCAGAATAGAGCTGGAAGGGGCCTTGGAGGTCTTCTAGTCCAGCCCCCTGCTGAAACAGGAGACCCAAACCATTTCAGATAAGTGGCTGTCCAGTCTTTTCTTAAAAACTTCCAATGATGGGAGTACCCACAACTTCTGGTGGCAAGCAGTTCCACTGATTCATTGTCCTCACTGTCGGAAAGTTTCTTCTCAATTCCAAGTTGCTTCTCTCCTTGATTAGAATAGAAATAGAAATACAATACAATAGCAGAGTTGGAAGGGACCTGGGAGATCTTCTAGTCCGACCCGCCTGGCTCAGGCAGGAAACCCTGGACCGTTTCAGACAAATGGTTGTCCAACCTCTTCTTCAAAACTTCCAGGGCTGGAGCGTTTACAACTTCTGGAGGCAAGGGGTTCCACGGGTACAGAAGAGGGGGAAGCAGATCATGCCAGCCTCGTGATACCGAAACCCTCCCTTGCCCTTCACAACAACACATGTTTACAGCGACCCTCTTTTCGTGCACAAAGCAGGCCGCAAGCCTGAAAAAGGGACGAGTCCGAAAGAGGTTAATTAAAGACAAAAATAAATGCATTCATTCCCTTTGCTCTGCAGAGGAAAATCCAAGGAGAAAGCCAAGAAAGCAATTAGCTAACTCGCGAGGGCTGCCTTTTTCTAAAGTACAGGGCTGTCCTTTATAATGAAGGCTGTGTTGTCACTGCATACACATAATTCACTTACTCCAGTGTTGACGGGTTTTCACTTGGGAGCAGGAGAGCCCAAAGGCAAGAGTTTTCCCTGGGTTTCAGGGCGACGGCTTCCATTTTAACCAGTTCTGGCAGAAACTTCGACCTCCGGAACGTTGAGTCATTCTGAAGCCCGTTTCCTCTTTCTCTCCCTTTCTGGCTTCTAGATGAGCAGGAAAGCCAAAAGTTTCCCCGGCACGCCCGGCCACCGAGGCCCAATCCCCACGGAACCCCTGCAGGCCGAGCCCCCGAGGAAGAAGCGTGGGGCTGCGCAGAACAAGGGCTCCCGGACGGCCAGTCAAGGCCCAGACCGGAAATTCTGGAAAAAAGCCCGTCCCAACCAAGGACCCCCCCTGGCTTAATGGCGAGCAGGAGCAGCCGTCTTCCTCCGCAAAAGGGCTTCTGTGAATGAAGAAGGTGGTGGACAATCCCATCAAGCCGGGCAGGGTCGCCCCAAAACCTTTCCCCGGATTCGGCACTCGAGAGGCGCATCGGAGGGTTTTCTCCTGCCTTGAGAACGCCCGGAGCGACACGGGAAGGAGGGCAGCCAACTCTGGACGATCCCAACCGCTTGTATTTCGCCGTTTGTTCCCCGTAACGTTACTGGGCGAAAAGCAAGCCCTGCGGGAGCTTTCTGTTAAAATGGGCAGTTGCATTGAAGGAGTTCTGCTCCTTTTTGAGCAGCTGGAGCGGAGATGTTGGTTTGAATCTCCCTGCCCTTTTCTGCAGGAATGTTAGGAAAACAGTTGTGGCCGCAGCCACGGACTGCTTTTAAGTTTAGATTTTGTTTTTAGAGGTCCCTGGTGTTTTTTAAGGGTCTGCTAAGACTCATCATCCCTCGGTCCTTGGGCACCTCACGCCATCATCCAAAGCGCAAATGCGTTTAGATGTTTTGAGGGTTTAAAACAACCTTAGAAACTTTCAGACCTTCGATTTATTTTTATTTATTTCCTATTTCAGAGGGTCAAAGTGAGTGCCGGGCTGGGTTTGAGCTTTTCAAAATACAGTTTAAATCCCCCAGTTGTTGATTTCTAATTTCTTTCCTTTATTTTTTGGATGTGTGTGAAACGCAAATTTGAATTTTGCTTGGGATTTTTGCCCAGCTTGGCGCTGTTTTGCTGTTTTGTACGCCAAGCTAATTAACCTTGGAGCCCGCGGTTGCATGGCCGCAGTGGTGCAGTGCTCCTGCCCAAGGCGAGACCAGGGTGAAGTGGGCAGGGCAGCCTTGATGTCATGGCACAGAAATGTTTTACTGCCAAAGCGGCGCCATGTTGTTGCAAAATTTACACCCGCTGTCTGAGGCATCATCCCTCCCGTCCCACATTCCAGGCGCTAAAGCAGTGTTTCTCAACCTTGGCAACTTTAAGTCCTGTGGACTTCAACTCCCAGAATCCCCCAGCCAGCGCAGCTGCGCTGGCTGGGGGATTC